GCACCATGCCATGCCAATTACGTAGTTTTCTACTCTAGTTACTTTGTTACTGTGTGTAGGCTTCTCTTCTCATTGCACATTATCTCACCACCATATGTCAGAGTGACGTGCGACTAGGCCAGTTATGGTGAGACTGAGTGGCCTGAGGCCTCACATGGGCCAACAAACATTGACCGAGGGTTCCCTATTCCCTAGTGCACTACTTTTGCACTGTATAGATAAAATGGTGCCATTTGGGACAGAGACAGAGTTTAGGAGGGGTTAATGTGTCATTGAATGTCTGTGTAGACTTAAGTATAGGTTTGAAAAAGATCCTTGTCGAATACCACTGAGGGCTTTCTCTTGACGAACAGCTTGCTCTTGTGACATTGACGCATGGAGATTTTTGTGACAGAATAGTTAATGTTCACATTTAAAAAAAGGTTTGACTGCTGTAAATATTTGATCTGTGGGTTTGGGATAAATGTTATGTTTCAGCCTCTAGTAAGCATAAAGGGCTGAATTTGGCACCTGTTTTATTTATTTAATTCTATGATCATACCAATAGCCTATTAGGTTGCAAAATGCTTGACGCCAGGACCAAGAAAATGATTGAGGCCAGACCAAGTTTAACCATAGTCCAGAAGTAGGCTATAGTTCCATTAATGATGACATCAAAATGATCATAATCTAGTGCAATTTACTTCAAGAGTCCAACCCATAGTCCAACCCCGAAATAACGGTCCAATTCTTGTTTATTTACTGGTGCTAAAGGATGCAATTTTGAAATGTAATGTTTAAGAAAAGGCTTACTGTATTTGTGTTGTATTGCACAAACAAATTGCACTGTACATGAAAAACAATCAATTGTGTGTCCATAAAACGCGGTCCAGTCTACTCAGTAGAGTCCCTACAATACAAAACAGGTGAGTTTGAACAAAAAGCAAGGTCATAGCAAGTGTTGCTGGACTTTTACTGTGGTCAAATATGTTTTATGGGCGCCTGGACACTATACGGTAAAAATATAGCACTGTAGAGAGAACCTTACTACCTGTCTCAGCTAAAGTGGGGTGGGAAATGCTCAGCAAGGTCTCTTCTCACCAAATATGATTAGTTTTTGAAGGGGCCTGTGTCGTACATATCCAGCAACACTTCTCCATAGCTCCCAATGCAATACACTGTAATACACTGCACATGGGATAAATATTGGACTGTAGAGAGAACCGTACTACCTGTCTCTGCTAAAGTGCAGTGGGAAGCTATCGATTGTGTATCCATAATACCAGGGTCCGGTCTTCTCATTAGAGTGCCTAGAATACAAATCAGATGAGTTTGAACAAAAAGCTAGGTCAATTATCTTATCAATTAAACCAATCTCCATTTGTTATTTTATCAAAATCCTCAGTGGTTAGTGAAGACAGTTTCCTCTGAGTTGGCTTAGGAATGTCTTTATGTTGAGAGGAATACCTTTCCTTGCATTTGACATATAGATTCTCCAGACCCTACTGAATACTCCCCACCCCACTTTTACATTGGCACAATTAATCGTTTTTCTGTACAGTGCTTTATTTGTACCAAATAGTGTCCAGGCACCCCATGTTTAGCTGTTTGACCACAGTTAAAGGGCCAGCAACACCCGTGCTATTCAGAGACCCATGAAATGACACCACATATAGATTCTACAGACCCTACTGAGTACTCCCCACCAGTGGCGGCTCCTGAAAAAATTCTCAGGAGGGGCAATTTTTCTGATGATTTAGGTGACCTACACACATTTTTAAAAAGATATGTCCAGCAACAACATGAAGACAGGGGCAGCATATAAGTCAATACCAGAAGCATTTATTGACTGATCTCAAAAGTGTTGGCTTACAAAAGCAAAATAAGTTATCACAGTAAAAATAATCAAGGGTGTTCTTTCACATTCCTCAACACTGCATAAACAATATGTATGGCTTTGTAAAAATGAACAACCATATTCTGGCCAATTGTATAGATTTGTAAATATGAACAACCATATTCTGGCCAATTGTATAGATTTGTAAAAATGAACATGAACAGATTTTTTATTTTTTTGAATGGCAGTACCTTTCAAACATGTCTGCTTGCAGTAAGGTAGCACTCACAAGGTGGCCAGAGAAAGAGAACCTTTCTTTGGTGTGATCCAGGATGGTGTTGCAGACCTCTTCAGACAGCCTCTGCTTCTCCTCTTCTCTCAAAGCTGTTCTGGGTCTTTTGGCTCCTGTTGCTTCTTGCAGCTGCTGTTGAGAGGAGTCCCTGAAGGCAAACAGACCAATGTGTTTGTTGGCTTTGTACAGTATTGTTGTCTATGTGATGCACAGGTATATGCAATGTATCCATGTATAGTACAAATACTTCAGTTCCACTTAAAATGGGCAGGGATGCATAAAGTCTTTAGTGTTTAAGTTAGCCTTTGTGTCTCACATAGCCTGGATGTTCAGCACAGTATACAGTGGTGCTCATAAGCTTATGATCCCATGCTAAAGTTGACTAAAAAGAGGAATAAAAAAGAAAAGAAAATTGGTGTCCTTAAAGGTTGGATTTTCCAACTTTTTTAATTAAGTCATTAAGATCAATTTCCAAAAGATGATTTTTTTATTTTTTTATTCCTCTTTTTAGTCAGCTTTAGAATGTGTTCATACACTTATGAGCACCACTGTACAGTACACATAGTATATAAAATAAGATAGATTACACCACTGGCCATATATAATGACAATAATGTAATTTCAAACACAAATGCAGTCTCCTTTCATGCATACATTTTCAAATAAAGCTCTGCTTTGAGAAAGATCGAATGATATTGTTTAATCTTTATCTTACCTTATGGCCTGCACACTGCTTGCGAAGCTGTCGAGGGCACGTTTGATAAAGACAGCATCGATGTCCTTATTCTGTAGCTTCTGGTACGGTGGGCTGGTCAAATGAACCCAATGAACCCGTCCGGATGGCTTCAAAACATTCTATGAGGTCGTCTCGATTCTCGTAGACAGTGTTCACGACTCTGCTGTTGCTAACCTCATCGTTGTGGCGGCGGACAGCTAGCCTGTATCCCTCATCCAGTTGAGTGGCAATATTCACTCTCACCAAAGCAGACAATCTCAAACAGCTATCAATGTGGGTCTTTGACAGCTCATTTTTCTTAATCTTTTCTGAAAGATGGTGCATGTCGGTTACACCAGTCGCTGTCCAAGCGTTGCTGTCTGCCGTTCATGGTTACGTTACGTTACGTATGACGAAAGCGCGTAAGTGCATGCCCTCAGACACCCATAGAGAATGTATTGAAAGCTCAGAAATTTGAAAAAAAAATATTTTACATTAGAGGCTATGAGAGACTTCTGGGCGATTTTCAACCTGACTGAAATCGCCCCAAAACGGGCGGGGACATTTGAAGCACGACTTTAGCCTGATTGGACATTTAGTGGCTGGCAGATCAGACGTGAACACTGAACTACTGTTGCCATGATATAATTGATTAGAAAAAAAATCCCTTCCTTTTCCCGTTTGGCAGTGCGTCGCCCATATCGCCCTATTGAACACACCGCCCATGCTCCCCACCCCACTTTTACTAACCCTAATAATCATTTTTTCTCTATAAGCCAATATGTATTACATATCCAGTGATTTGCATTGTGGCATTTATTTGACCTTGGAACATGTTTTTAAACCCACATTTAATGCAAATGTCACTTAAATATGAAGTCATATGAATCATTGTTCATGTTTAGACAATTATTTTTCATACATCATGAATAAATACAGGTTAATGACACCTTTTCTACTATTACGTGGGGGACTTTTATATCGAACATTTCCCGAAATTCCGGGACCCGGGAGTACTATTTTAGTGTTGCTGATTGTGAAATCTTTATTAGTGGCATGACAGCAGCAATAGCTAAATACAAGCCACATTAAGACTTCCGGTTTTCGGATTTTTCCTTCAAAATAATGGTCCCCAGTAAAACGAAAGAAATATTTTTTGGCAGCTTTGCAAAAAATGTATAACTACATGGGGGAAAATCTAAACTAAAGAGGATTACTTTATATAAGATACATAATATTATAAGGTGGAGCACACTAAGCAATGGTTGGAGCTTAAGTAAATTAATGTCACGAACATAATAATACTTTTTAAAATAAATCGTTATTTTGATGGCATGATTCTTGTTTATTTACTATTGTTCAAGGATGCAATTTTGAAATGTAATGTTTAAGTCTTACTCTATTTTTGTTATATTGCACAAACAAATTGCACTGTACAGGAAAAACGATTGATTGTGTGTCTATAAAACCAGGGTCCAGTCTACTCACAAGAGTTCCTAGAATACAAAAATCAGATGAATTTGAACAAAAAGCTAGGTCATAGGAAGTGTTGCTGGACATTTACTGTGGTCAAAGAGCTTAAAATGGGGTGCCTGGACACTATCTAGTACAAATATAGCACTGTGCAGGAAAAAACAATTATTTGTGTCGATGGAAAAGTGGGGTAGGGAGTACTCTATATATGGTGTCATTTCATGGGGCTCTAAATAATACGGAGTGTTGCTGGCCTTTTACACCGCACGTTACATTGGCCACAATGCAAATCACTGTATATGGAATACATATAGGCTTATAGAGCGAAAACTATTCTAGGTGCTGCAGTAAAAGTACTCTAGGGAATACTCAGTAGGGTCTGCAGAATCAATATATGGTGTCATTTCATGGGTAACTGAATAATACAGAGTGTTGATGAACTTTTACTTTGGTCAAACAGCTTAAAATGTGGTGCCTGGACACTATATGGTACAAATATAGCACTGTACAGGAGAAACTATTATTTGTGCCGATGTTTCATTTTTAAGTTTTTCTTTCAGTAATTGGAGTGACTCCATTTCATCAGATTCCAAAAAGTTATGAATAATTGTTAATGTTTATTTCACATATAATGAATAAATACAGGCTATTGACACTTTCTACTATTACATGGATGACTTTTATTTAGAAAATGGCCGAAATTCCGTGAACCTGAAGTACTTATTTAGTGTCGCTGAGGAAACAGTGATAAAATCTTTCCCATTGATTTACAAGTCGATAACAGTCGAGTCGTTGCTGTGGGTTGTTTATACAGTATCCTACATCCGTAAAATACAGGTTTCAAAATGAATTTTAAAGTCCGCGCTGCAAGAAAAGAGGATTGTAAGGATATATCTAGAATGATTATGGTGAGTTTGCTAAACAACGTCTCAATGTTGCTACAACGTTTCACACTCAACCTGTCACATGTTGCATGTTCAGTAAAAGTAATTTTGCTGCACTCACTGCTTTATTACATTATAGCAATCGCAAGCCAAATAGGCTATCATTCATAATAGCTGCATTTACATTGCAGCATAATTGCATATGTCCAAATTAAGTGTTAGGCTACTGCAGTTTGCTGAGTGCAGTGATTTTGCAGTTCAAGTGCAGATTTATTCATACATTCTGCAGTTTATGTAAGGAGGAAAGTAGAATATTGGTTATAAACCTGAGGTGCATTGTTTGATTAAATGTTTGTTACGTTGCGTAACGGCTTGTACTGTGTAGTCATTCGTCCAAAACGTTTTGCAACGAAAACCGAGACGTTTCACCTATGTGAAGCGAGCCACAATAACGATTAGCCACAATAGTGGAATTTGCGGTTTGCAAAAACTGTTGAAATCCCACTGTGGATGTATTAGACTGTATATTGCATTGGAGGCATACATGTATTGCAGGCCTTTGAATGTGGTAATTGAGGACTCATAAAAGGTCAGTTCGAGGTGTCCTTAAAAAAATGCACCTCCCCATTGTTAAACATATTTTCACATGACTCTACTCTTGTACATTATTTTTTTGTTGTTGCACCCCCCTCCCCCTCATTGAATTAACTCTAAATAATGTTTACGACCACAAATAACAATAACTGTAACAACCCTTAGCTACAGGCCAGAAGGTTGAGGGTTCGCCGAGCACCACAGACGAGAGTCTGCCTGCCTGTTTTATTACACTACGATCAGAGCCAGCTGCAGACAATGATCAGCTAGGGGGTAATCCGATTTTCAACATTTTGATGCTATATTTATAATTATATAAAATAATGCAAAAATAAAATCCACCAACAGGTTTCTGTGCCAATGCACCACACAACCAATAAGCGAAGCATAACTGCATACCAGTTACCGACTTCGGGCGCTTCAACATCATGGTTTGCGTTTTCAACACCACAATTAAATAGAGTATGTCAATCTTGACAAACAGGAAATACATCCCTCCCTACCGTGTACCAGTATCTAAGGCTTGGCTTGACAATCTTCAAATGTCATTCAACTTTTTGGTGTTTTGTAACAGGTGTCTCTTTCCCTTCCTCAAATGGCTGGTGTACAGTTTGGATGCTGGAATTACTGTATATTAGAGTGGAGTGGACAAACGTGTGCAGGTAGCTTACAGGAGACTTAAAGTAGCCTAATCAGTTGAAAACATTGTGACATTAATGCACACATAAAAGGTAATACATTTTAAAGTTAAATGACAAATATTTAGGCTATATTGAAGCGTTATGGTTCTAGGTGTGCAAAGAATAGCCGATAGGAGAGGAGGCAGAGCGCATGTTAAGCTTTCCTGAATAACTGGGCCTGCTACATTGGTCTATGCATGCCTGAGTTGAGCACTGTGTCATTTTGGCACATTTAGCCTAATGCTGACCTGCACAGCTAGCCATGATGATATCCGGTAATATATTCTAATCAGCCAGTTGTTCATGAAAATGTACTTAACAGAAGTCCAACGGCATGTTCTGATAATCAAAGCAACTAGAGTACATCTATTTGACTGGTCATAGCTCACAGTGTAGAGTGTCTATCTCCTCATAATTGTTGCATATTGTGGCAAGGGTTCAAATCCCACATTCTGTTTTTTCCCTCCTTTGAAATGTAGAATTACATTTTTGTTAGTGTGTTGAGAAGGAAAGTGCAGCCAACAGCTTGAAAATGAAGATTAAAGGCCGGTACAAGCTCCACTCCGTTGATCTATGTGCGTGCATGCACGTGGGTGGAGTCGTTTTTTGGGGGGCAGCGCACTCTTCGTTGTGTTCCACCCAGAGAGGAAGTCTGCCTTGTGTAGTGCATATCCACTAGGGGGCTTGGGGAGCCAGAGTAGCTTAAAAAGCAAGAGGGGCTGAGGCCCTCTTTTTGACTCCAGCTAGTGACGACATTTGAACTTCCGATCCGGTGATATGCCTGTTTACAAATACTAGCTAGCTAGCAACATGTCAGCCTAGTATGGTGTTATGCTTTACAACACTACTTTTTAGCCACAGAAGCAGATGCAAACATGTATCTTTTTGAATTGCTGCAAAATGGGCAGAAATCGCCAAAGACTTTGGGGATAGTTGGAATTATCGGTTTTGTTCAGGGAGCTGTCGACGGAAAACATACACTACCGTTTTGTCCATTAAAATAACATCAAATTGATCAGAAATACAGTGTAGACATTGTTAATGTTGTAAATGGCTATTGTAGCTGGAAACGGCTGATTTTTTATGGAATATCTACATAGGCGTACAGAGGCCCATTATCAGCAACCATCAGTCCTGTGTTCCAATGGCACGTTGTGTTTGCTAATCCAAGTTGATTATTTTAAAAGGCTAATTGATCATTAGAAAACTATTTTGCAATTATGTTAGCACAGCTGAAAACTGTTGTGCTGATTAAAGAAGCAATAAAACTGGCCTTCTTGAGACTAGTTGAGTATCTGGAGCATCAGCAATTGTGGGTTCGATTACAGGCTCAAAATAGCCAGAAACAAAGAACTTTCTCCTGAAACTCGTCAGTCTATTCTTATTCTGAGAAATTAAGGCTATTCCATGCGAGAAATTGCCAAGAAACTGAAGATCTCGTACAACGCTGTGTACTACTCCCTTCACAGAACAGCGCAAACTGGCTATAACCAGAATAGAAAGAGGAGTGGGAGGCCCCGGTGTACAACTGAGCAAGAGGACAAATACATTAGAGTGTCTAGTTTGAGAAACAGACGCCTCACAGGTCCTCAACTGGCAGCTTCATTAAATAATATCCGCAAAACACCAGTCTCAACGTCAACAGTGAAGATGCGACTCTGGGATGCTGACCTTCTAGGCAGAGTTGCAAAGAAAAAGCCATATCTCAGACTGGCCAATAAAAATAAAAGATTAAGATGGGCAAAGAACACTGGACTTTTTCTTTGTAATGTTGTGTCGAGTAAACGTTGCTAATTATGCTGTGTGACCAAGGAGAACCCGCTGACGCTGTATTTTCATCATAAAGGTTTATTCATAACAAAGGGTTACAGCGTCGATTTACAGATACCTGCAGATACCTGGAGATTAATCGCCCCATCTCAAATCTAATTTTGCTGTCGTCCTTTGTCCCAACTGTGGTATATATTCTATGTAATCTGATATGGGTGTTCCCTTACAGACCAATCACCTGTCTCCACACAAGACTTCCTCTGTTCTATGGTGTGTCCCCACAAAACTACTCCCTGGGCTAAATAAACCTCCTATCAGGTTCCACTTTGAAAACATTAGCAAAGTCATAATTCCTCAGATACTACAGCAACTCTGCCTAGGTCAGCATCCCGGAGTTGCCTCTTCACTGTTGATGTTGAGTCTGGTGTTTTGCGGGTGAACACAAAGCCAATCCAGTTGTCAGACAATTAGGTGGGACACACACACCAGCAGCAGCCCCACTCCTAGTCTCCTTCACCAGTTTCAGATTGTGAACATACCGGTCCCGAATCTTTCTCCATGTATCGGTGTTCAAATTTTGTGATAACTCCCTCCAGCTGTTGTCCGAATACGACCGCATCGAAGGATTGTGAAGGTTCTCGTATTTTCACCAGCTCGCACAGACACTCCTCAAAACTGGACAAAGACATTGCGCATAGCAAATGCATCGAACGACGGAGCATTTTTCAAGGAGACGAAAAAAACGAATTGCAACACTGCACTATGCATCGTCGGCCCTGTTTGCACCTTGTCCGTAGACCCCTTTAGAATTAGTTTAATAAAGAGATACATCTTTCTTGAGCCTTGCGGACAAACACGCTGCTATGGCCTAATAGTCATATTGCATAGGCTATATAACATGGACGTGTACACCTAAATATAGGCCTACAACGTTTTATATTAAGGATGGGCACGTTATTAGAATATCCAAAAATACGTTAGTATTCAATTTCTTGGGAGAGTATACATTTTTTAGAATAAAAACATATATAGGCCTATTTTAACAATGAAAAGGCTTTGACTAAAATTAAATAAGTATCTACAGTGAGGGAAAAAAGAATTTGATCCCCTGCTGATTTTGTACGTTTGCCCACTGACATAGAAATGATCAGTCTATAATTTTAATGGTAGGTTTATTTGAACAGTGAGAGACAGAATAACAACAACAAAATCCAGAAAAATGCATGTCAAAAATGTTATACATTTATTTGCATTTTAATGAGGGAAATAAGTATTTGACCCCCTCTCAATCAGAAAGATTTCTGGCTCCCAGGTGTCTTTTATACAGGTAATGAGCTGAGATTAGGAGCACACTCTTAAAGGGAGTGCTCCTAATCTCAGCTTGTTACCTGTATAAAAGACACCTGTCCACAGAAGCAATCAATCAATCAGATTCCAAACTCTCCACCATAGCCAAGACCAAAGAGCTCTCTAAGGATGTCAGGAACAAGATTGTAGACCTACACAAGGCTGGAATGGGCTACAAGACTATCGCCAAGCAGCTTGGTGAGAAGGTGACAACAGTTGGTGCGATTATTCGCAAATGGAAGAAACACAAAATAACTGTCAATCTCCCTCGGCCTGGGGCTCCATGCAAGATCTCACCTTGTGGAGTTGCAATGATCATGAGAACGATGAGGAATCAGCCCAGAACTACACGGGAGGATCTTGTCAATGATCTCAAGGCAGCTGGGACCATAGTCACCAAGAAAACAATTGGTAACACACTACGCCGTGAAGGACTGAAATCCTGCAGCGCCCGCAATGTCCCCCTGCTCAAGAAAGCACATATACAGGGCCATCTGAAGTTTGCCAATGAACATCTGAATGATTCAGAGGAGAACTGGGTGAAAGTGTTGTGGTCAGATGAGACCAAAATCGATCTCTTTGCCATCAACTCAACTTGCTGTGTTTGGAGGAGGAGGAATGCTGCCAATGACCCCAAGAACACCATCTCCACCGTCCTTCATGGAGGTGGAAAACATTATGCTTTGGGGGTGTTTTTCTGCTAAGGGGACAGGACAACTTCACCGCATCAAAGGGACGATGGACGGGGCCATGTACCGTCAAATCTTGGGTAAGAACCTCCTTCCCTCAGCCAGGGCATTGAAAATGGGTCGTGGATGGGTATTCCAGCATGACAATGACCCAAAACACACGGCCAAGGCAACAAAGGAGTGGCTCAAGAAGAAGCACATTAAGTTCCTGGAGTGGCCTAGCCAGTCTCCAGACCTTAATCCCATAGAAAATCTGTGGAGGGAGCTGAAGGTTCGAGTTGCCAAACGTCAGCCTTGAAACCTTAATGACTTGGAGAAGATCTGCAAAGAGGAGTGGGACAAAATCCCTCCTGAGATGTGTGCAAACCTGGTGGCTAACTACAAGAAACGTCTGACCTCTGTGATTGCCAACAAGGGTTTTGCCATCAAGTACTAAGTCATGTTTTGCAGAGGGGTCAAATACTTATTTCCCTCATTAAAATGCAAATCAATTTATAACATTTTTGACATGCGTTTTTTTCAGGATTTTTTTGTTCTTATTCTGTCTCTCACTGTTCAAATAAACATACCATTAAAATTATAGACTGATTATGTCTTTGTCAGTGGGCAAACGTACAAAATCAGCAGGGGATCAAATACTTTTTCCCCTCACTGTACCTAGGCTTTTAACCATTACTTTATCCTTAAAAAAAGCACATTTGGCAACGATTGGACGCTCATATCTCTGTCTTCTTTGTCCGAAACGGTGTACACGTTCGAGTTGGATTTTGTCGATAGCCTCGAGTGGGATTTGAAGCGCTGTAAGAAAGAAGTCCTTCACAATTTTTTCTGTAACTTCTTCTTTTTCCCGGATACCCGTAAGTACTAGATTTTCTCTCATCAATCTAGTTTGTATCTCTAGTAAGGCTTCTCTCAGAAAGTTGTTCTCCTTTTTAAGTTCCTTAACGTCCGTTTCCATCCTAGTGACTGTCCCTTTTAGTTTTTTGGTATCGCTCTCTATTATCGCAGCTTTTCCGTCACTCATTTCAAGACTCGCCTTCAACTCTTTTACATCATTAATGACAGAATCTAGTATGCCCAGTTTGTCATTTATTGATTTCAACAGGTCGCTTTCCAATCATCTGTATCAGTCGAGGAGTCGCGTTTTCTCTTGGAGATTGATTCTCCTCGTTTATCTTCCATCATGTTTGGGTGTTGCGTGTTGTTGTAATATTTGTAGATACATTTCTCTAGTGTTTCAATATTCAAATTTGATCTCCTGCTGTCCCATAGTAATGAACGTGCCGGGAGTCGGGACGACACAGACAGGCAGGCAGCGTTTCTCAGCCAGTCGAAATCATGAGTCAGCTGGCATCATTTTTATGGATATATACAAAAAAATGTCAATTGAAAAAGGTACAATGAAACTAATTTGCAGTCTTTTTATCGTCAGTTTGAAGTGATTGTGTTACTGTAGCTGTGTTGTTGGCTAGCTCCTCTGAACAACAGTGTCCTGACAAGTGAGCACATTTTCTATGCCAGTCGAAATCGCGCCTCATTAGCTCATTGTTATGGGTGTATCCAAATAAATGTCACTAGAAAATAGCTACTTATTCTGCTGTTATTCTGGTTGCACTTTTTGACGTGAATGTAAGTTAGCCGTAGATGGCTAGCTAGCAAGCAAGGGATAAGAACATTGCCAGCCAGTATGACAATGGAACATTTAGAACGAACGACTGGGTCGCGTCCATAGATACAGAACAAAAAGACTGAACGACTGGGTCGCGTTTGCCGGCCCTCGACCTAACAACACCTGTGCCAATATATCCTCCAAACACCGGCTTCTCGGGCATTATCACTTAATAAGTTACTGTAACGATGTATTCCGTACTGCCTAAATTGCATAATAGTGCATATTAATTTAATAAATGTTACTTTAATTTGAATCATCCCTGAAAATGTCATAACAATATGACCACCCTATCTTGAGATATTGAAAGATACAGAAAGTGTTGAATTTAAGATTCCAGACAGGTGATTTGGTGCCTTATAGAAAGGGATTATCATTGACCTTTTTGACGTTTTCCGATTACTTGAAAATAAGATCTCAGCAATAGTAAGTTCTATCCTCATGAAATAAAGTGTTCTGTGTTTCTGAGAAGCTGCTCTATATCATGGAATACAAAGTATAACACCAGAACCAAAGTTTTATTTTGACCCCTAACACCCTACTTATATGGGAAGTGGAGGGGTCCGCTATTGGCCATTGCTCTTGTCAGTCTATGACAGACATTGTGTCATTGGATCTTCCTGAGACTCTGCCCCATAGTGAGACAACATCATAGAACCATGGTTACTTTAAGTAACCTTAAGTTTCTTCATGTAGACCTACTGTCTTATTACATTTGTCTATTTCTCTTAGGAGTTGGCTGTGTATGAGAAAATGCCAGACCAGGTGAAGATTTCTCATGAAGGTTATTTTACAACTTTTGCCAGTAATTTAAAGTTATTTCTTTAAACTTGAACCTGAACTTAACCTGTCTCCGTTTCTCTGTCACCCCAGAGTTGGAGCGTGATGGGTTCTCTCCAAACCCCTTCTATGAATGCCTGATCGCAGAAGTGCCAGATGAACACAAGACCAAAGATGGTAAAAGATCTGCATTTCAATGCAACTTAATGCCTGTACATGTGAAAATGTATTGTGCTTATATGGAAGCTCATATGTTCATATCTAATTTTATCAGATTGCAGTGCCTAATCATAAGTATTCACCCCCCTTGGATTTCTTCACATTTTATTGTGTTACAACAAAGTGGGATTAAAATGGATTTAATTGTCATTGTTTGTCAAAGATCTACACAAAATACTCTGTGAAAGTGGAAGAGAAAATCTAACATAAAAATAAAAAAATCTGCTGTTAGTCTTTTGGGGTACGACTAAGAGCTTTGCAATATTTGCCCATTATTCTTTTCAAGATTCTTTAAGCTTCAGTCAGTTTGGTTGTTGATCATTGCTAGACCGCCATTTTCAATTCTCGCCATAGATTTCCCAGCAGATATAAGTCAAAACTTTAACTAAGCCACTCGGGAACATTCATTGTCTTTTTGGTAAGCAACTCCAGTGTAAATTCGTCTCCCAGTGTCTGGTGAAAAGCAGACTGAACCAGATTTTCCTCTAGGATTTTCTCTGCGGTTTTCTTAGTCCTTGCCAATGACAAGCATACCCATAACGTAATTCAGCCACCACCATACTTGAAAAATATGGGGAGTGGTTCTGAGTGATGTATTGTGTTGGATTTGCCCCAAACATAACTCTTTGTATTCAGGACAAAAAGTTAATTCCTTTGCCAAATTCTTTGCAGTATTACTTTCGTGCCTTGTTGCAAACAGGATGCATGTTTTGGAATATTATTCTGTACAGGCTTCATTCTTTTCACTCTGTCATTTAGGTTAGTATTGTGGAGTAACTACAGTGCCTTGCAAAAGTATTCATCCCCCTTGGCATTTTTCCTATTTTGTTGCATTACAACCTGTAATTTAAATTGATTTTTATTTGGATTTCATGTAATGGACATACACAAAATAGTCCAAATTGGTGAAGTGAAATGAAAAAAATAACTTGTTTCAAAAAATTATAAAAAATTAATAACGGAAAAGTGGTGCGTGCATATGTATTCACTCCCTTTGCTATGAAGCCCCTAAATAAGATCTGGTGCAACCAATTACCTTCAGAAGTCACATAATTAGTTAAATAAAGTCCACCTGTGTGCAATCCAAGTGTCACATGATCTGTCACATGATCTCAGTATATATACACCTGTTCTGAAAGGCCCCAGAGTCTGCAACACCACTAAGTAAGGGGCACCACCAAGCAAGCGGCACCATGAAGACCAAGGAGCTCGCCAAACAGGACAGGGACAAAGTTGTGGAGAAGTACAAATCAGGGTTGGGTTATAAAAAAATATCAGAAACTTTGAACATCCCACGGAGTACCATTAAATCCATTATTTAAAAATGGAAAGAATATGGCACAACAACAAACCTGCCAAGAGAGGGCCGCCCACCAAAACTCACGGACCAGGCAAGGAGGGCATTAATCAGAGAGGCAACAAAGAAACCAAAGATAACCCTGAAGGAGCTGCAAAGCTCCACAGCGGAGATTGGAGTATCTGTCCATAGGACCACATTAAGCCCGTACACTCCACCGAGCTGGGCTTTACAGAAGAGTGGGCAGAAAAAAGCCATTGCTTAAAGAAAAAAATGAGCAAACGCGTTTGGTGTTCGCCAAAAGCCATGTGGGAGACACCTCAAACATATGGAAGAAGGTACTCTGGTCAGATGAGACTAAAATTGAGCTTTTTGGCCATCAAGGAAAACGCTATGTCTGGCACAAACCCAACACCTCCCATCACCCCGAGAACACCATCCCCACAGTGAAGCATGGTGGTGGCAGCATCATGCTGTGGGGATGTTTTTCATCGGCAGGGACTGGGAAACTGGTCAGAATTTAAGGAATGATGGATGGCGCTAAATACAGGGAAATTCTTCAGGGAAACCTGTTTCAGTCTTCCAGATTTGAGACTGGGACGGAGGTTCACCTTCCAGCAGGACAATGACCCTAAGCATACTGCTAAAGCAACACTTGAGTGGTTTAAGAGGAAACATTTAAATGTCTTGGAATGGCCTATTCAAAGCCCAGACCTCAATCCAATTGAGAATCTGTGGTATGACTTCAAGATTGCTGTACACCAGCGGAACCCATCCAACTTGAAGGAGCTGGAGCAGTTTTGCCCCCTGAAGAATGGGCAAAAATCCCAGTGGCTAGATATGCCAAGCTTATAGAGACATACCCCAAGAGACTTGCAGCTGTAATTGCTGCAAAAGGTGGCTCTACAAAGTATTTACTTTGGGGGGGGGGTGAATAGTTCTGCACGCTCAAGTTTTCTGTTTTTTTGTTTTATTTCTTGTTTGTTTCACAATAAAAAATATCTTGCATCTTCAAAGTGGTAGGCATGCTGTGTAAATCAAAGGATACAAACCCCCCAAAAAATCAATTTTAATTCTAGGTTGTAAGGCAACAAAATAGGAAAAATGCCAAGGGGTGGGAATACTTTCGCAAGCCACCACCAAACTTTTGCCTGTAATGATTAAACTAGGGACTTTTCTCAATTCGTTTTGCTAACTCCTCTGTCCTCCATCCTCTCCTTGCCTCATTTTGAAAAAGGTAAAAGGTAATCGAGGAGAGACGGCGAGAAGAAGGAACTTGGACGGAAATGCGCTTGTTTGAAATGAGACAGTCCTTCACCACTCGCGTGTCAAATTACGTTTAAAGGGGTATTCAAGTGATAAAAACTAATTAAGTTAGTTGTGCAAGACATTTTATAGATAAAACGATAAGTAGCATATTGTTTTTAAATGTGTGCATGTTTTCTCCTCTGACAATACAACAGCTGATTCAGAGGGGGTGTGGCAGATATCAAAACTCTTCCGCGGTAGGATACACTTGTACTTCCTCGCCAAAAGTAGGCTATCGAAGAGGGGAGGACCGTCTTTCGTTTGCCTACTAATTAATTGACACAGTCATCGACCACTTATCGGTTTCCGGGTCACGGAGGAGAGAGGACCCCTAGGTGTTGACCTAGGAGTACTGAGTATTATCTATGCATAGTCACTTTAACTCCTACATCAACATATTACCTCAATTACCTCGACTAACCTGTGCCCCCGCACATTGACTCTGTACCGGTTCCCCCTGTATATAGCCTCGCTACTGTTATTTTACTGCTGCTCTTTCATTCTTTTTCATTTTTATTTTTTAGTTATCTATTTTTTACTTAACACTTATTTTTATTAAAACTGCATTGTTGGTTAAGGGCTTGTAAGTAAGCATTTCACTGTAAGGTCTACACCTGTTGTATTCGGCGCATGTGACAAGTAACATTTGATTTGATTTGAACCACTGATCCATTCATAGCTCTTTGTCTTTTGTCAAGGTTAAGGATATTCACACACAGTGCTTTTAACATACAGTGCCTTAAGAAAGTATTCATACCGCATTTTGTTGTGTTACAGCCTGAATTCAAAATGTATTCAATTGTTGCTTTTTTCACCCATCTACACACAATACCACAGGAACATTCAATGTCGTCTTGGTAAGCAACTCCAGTTGCACTTCATAGGTGTAAGCAATAGGGTGAATGCACCTTTTAAGTAAATCTCAGCTCTGTTATTGATCATAGTGATTCAGGAGTATCTTTAAAACAAGTTAATATGCCCCACCAACATTAGACAACTATACAAAAGCCCTTAAATTGTTGAAATAAGTCAATCAAATCAATGACAACTAACACAGACATGGTAGCGTGGTAGGAAGATCTGAATTCTGTGAACCAAGAGGGTGTGAGTTCAAACCCAGGTAACCCAGGTAAACTTCCAGGTTAAGCGAGCAGTGTGTCAAGAAGCAGCGCGGCTTGGTGGGTTATGTTTTGGGAATGAGACAAGGTCGTAACTACCAATTGGATATGACGAAATTGGGGAGAAAATTGGGTAATCAAATCTATACTGTAAGTATGTTAAAAGCATTGTGTGAGTATCCCTAACCTTGCCAACAGACAAAAAGAGCTGTGAATGAATTGGTGGTTCACCAATCAGGGCATTGATGGGCTTGGCAACAGTAACAAGGTGTGATGTGTAATGAAACAAAAAAATGTGGGACCATCAGGAAACGTCCTGACAACTGATACACAGAAATGTTCTTGCAACGTTCCCATGAAACGTGTCTAGAACATTCATATTGTATATTCTGAGAACATGGCAACCATGTTCTGTGTATGTTTGGTGGAACGTTGATGGAATATTTTCCTAACCCTCAGAAAACTGGACACATTAATGTTCTTGCAACGTCCCATAAAACGTGTCTAGAACATTTTAATGTTGTATATTCTGAAAACATTGTAACCACACTCTAGATAAGTTCTGCTTGACATTAAGGGAATGTTCTCCTAACTTTAACACCAAAACATTCTAAAATGGCTCTCAGAAGATTTCTGCTATCATAGATAGAATGTTCTCCTAACTAACGGAAAACTGGACGCTCAAACATTAGGGGAACATTACGGTAACATTACAAAAACGTTCTCTTTTCCTAGAATTGTTAGTTGGGTATCAGCTGACACTGCTTGTTTGTTGTGTGAAGGGTACACCATCGTTGGGTACGCCCTTTACTTCTACACCTACAGCACATGGAAAGGGCGGTCAGTGTACATGGAGGACCTCTATGTAATGCCTGACTTTAGAGGTAAATATGCATGTACACTTATTAGCTATTATCAACAGTATTTGTAAAGTTAATAATTGAATCAGCCAAATGTTCTACCAGATGAATTGAAAGAAAGAAATAAATTATGTATAGAAAGACAGGTTTTGCATTTTGTGTTTAAACTTGGGAATGATTTGAGAAAGTACTGCTGTTAGGCTAGAAAGGCTCCATCTCATGTCTGTTTCTGTTTAATGTTCTCCCTGTAGGAAAAGGCATTGGAAAGGGACTGATGGCCAAAGTAGCTCAGGTCGGTTTCATGTTACACTGTATGGCTGATCTCAACTGAAACTACTGCAGTAGTTCATACATCTACAGTGGGGAAAAAAAGTATTTAGTCAGCCACCAATTGTGCAAGTTCTCCCACTTAAAAAGATGAGAGAGGCCTGTCATTTTCATCATAGGTACACGTCAACTATGACAGACAGAATTAGGAAAGAAAATCCAGAAAATCACATTGTATAATTTTTAATGAATTTATTTGCAAATTATGGTGGAAAATAAGTATTTGGTCAATAACAAAAGTTTCTCAATACTTTGTTATATACCCTTTGTTGGCAATGACACAGGTCAAACGTTTTCTGTAAGTCTTCACAAGGTTTTCACACACTGTTGCTGGTATTTTGGCCCATTCCTCCATGCAGATCTCCTCTAGAGCAGTGATGTTTTGGGGCTGTCGCTGGGCAACACGGACTTTCAACTCCCTCCAAAGATTTTCTATGGGGTTGAGATCTGGAGACTGGCTAGGCCACTCCAGGACCTTGAAATGCTTCTTACGAAGCCACTCCTTTGTCGCCCGGGCGGTGTGTTTGGGATCATTGTCATGCTGAAAGACCCAGCCACGTTTCATCTTCAATGCCCTTGCTGATGGAAGGAGATTTTCACTCAAAATCTCACGATACATGGCCCCATTCATTCTTTCCTTTACACGGATCAGTCGTCCTGGTCCCTTTTCAGAAAAACAGCCCCAAAGCATGATTTTTCCACCCCCATGCTTCACAGTAGGTATGGTGTTCTTTGGATGCAACTCAGCATTCTTTGTCCTCCAAACACGACAAGTTGAGTTTTTACCAAAAAGTTATATTTTGGTTTCATCTGACCATATGACATTCTCCCAATCCTCTTCTGGATCATCCAAATGCACTCTAGCAAACTTCAGACGGGCCTGGACATGTACTGGCTTAAGCAGGGGGACACGTCTGGCACTGCAGGATTTGAGTCCCTGGCGGCGTAGTGTGTTACTGATGGTAGGCTTTGTTACTTTGGTCCCAGCTCTCTGCAGGTCATTCACTAGGTCCCCCCGTGTGGTTCTGGGATTTTTGCTCACCGTTCTTGTGATCATTTTGACCCCACGGGGTGAGATCTTGCGTGGCGCCCCAGATCGAGGGAGATTATCAGTATGTCTTCCATTTCATAATAATTGCTCCCACAGTTGATTTCTTCAAACCAAGCTGCTTACCTATTGCAGATTCAGTCTTCCCAGCCTGGTGCAGGTCTACAATTTTGTTTCTGGTTCCTTTGACAGCTCTTTGGTCTTGGCCATAGTGGAGTTTGGAGTGTGACTGTTTGAGGTTGTGGACAGGTGTCTTTTAAACTGATAACAAGTTCAAACAGGTGCCATTAATACAGGTAACGAGTGGAGGACAGAGGAGCCTCTTAAAGAAGAAGTTACAGGTCTGTGAGAGCCAGAAATCTTGCTTGTTTGTAGGTGACCAAATACTTATTTTCCACCATAATTTGCAAATAAATTCATTAAAAATCCTACAATGTGATTTTCTGGAAAAAAAAATCTCAATTTGTCTGTCATAGTTGACGTGTACATATGATGAAAATTACAGGCCTCTCTCATCTTTTTAAGTGGGAGAACTTGCACAATTGTTGGCTGACTAAATACTTTTTTCCCCCACTGTATCTACCATCTTGGTTATTATGTATTATTGACATTGTGTGATAAGAAGGTTAATTTATTGCCATTGAACCACATCTCTGAATAGAAGTGATGCTGTGTTCTCTCTATGATTGATTAGATGTGTCTGGTTGCCTCTCTAGGTAGGGGTGGAGAAGCAGTGTGTGCGGCTGCAGTTATCTGTCCTAGACTGGAACAAACCATCACTAGACTTCTACGTTGCCAAGGGTGCCGAGGACCTGACTGCCAAAGAAGGTTGGCACTTCTTACGGTTTGATGGACAATCCCTGGACACATTAGCTAAGGAAGCACCTAAAGATTAGAGCATTTTATAGGCCTTGGTCTAGTTTCTTTCCCGCCATAACATCACACAGTGGACAGGTTAATTTTGCATTGGTGTGTGGAGATTTCACTTTTCACTTTAGGACCAATGGAAGGGTCTAAAATGAGGAAACTCCGCTCAGCTGGGGCACCGGGCGATGCAACGCAAACTCTCCCAGTCCTTCTTTATGTTTTATATGCATTTAAATATAGTCAAACATGATGACATTTTTTTTATATATACAGTTGAAGTCGGAGGTTTACATACACCTTAGCCAAATACATTTAAACTCAGTTTTTCACAATTCCTGACATTTAATCCTAGTAAAAATTCCCTGTCTTAGGTCAGTTAGGATCACCACTTTATTTTAAGAATGTGAAATGTCAGAATAATACTAGAGAGATTATTTATTTCAGCTTTTATTTCTTTCATCACATTCCCAGTGGGTCAGAAGTTTACATACACTCAATTCGTATTTGGTAGCATTGCCTTTAAATTGTTTAACTTGGGACAAACGTTTCGGGTAGTCTTCCACATGCTTCCCACAATAAGTTGGGTGAATTTGGGCCCATTCCTCCTGACAGAGCTGGTGTAACTGAGTCAGGTTTGTAGGCCTCCTTGCTCACACACGCTTTTTCAGTTCTTCCCACACATTTTCTATAGGATTGAGGTCAGGGCTTTGTCATGGCCACTCCAATACCTTGACTTTGTTGTCCTTAAGCCATTTTGCCACAACTTTGGAAGTATGCTTGGGGTCATTGACCATTTGGAAGACCCATTTGCGACCAAGCTTTAACTTCCTGACTGATGTCTTGAGATGTTGCATCCACATAATTTTCCTTCCTCATGATGCCATCTATTTTGTGAAGTGCACCAGTCCCTCCTGCAGCAAAGCAACCCCACAGCATGATGCTGCCACCCCACGGTTGGGATGGTGTTCTTCGGCTTGAAAGCCTTCCCCTTTTTCCTCCAAACATAACGATGGTCATTATGGCCAAACAGTTCTATTTTTGTTTCATCAGGCCAGAGGACATTTCTCCAAAAAGTATGATCTTTGTCCCCATGTGCAGTTGCAAACTGTAGTCTGGCTTTTTGTTGGCGGTTCTGGAGCAGTGGCTTCTTCCTTGCTGAGCGGCCTTTCAGGTTGTGTCGATATAGGACTTGTTTTACTGTGGATATAGATACTTTTGTACCGGTTTCCTCCAGCATCTTCACAAGGTCCTTTGCTGTTGTTCTGGGATTGATTTGCACTTTTCGCACCAAAGTACGTTCATCTCTAGGAGACAGAACGCGTGTCCTTCCTGAGCGGTATGACAGCTGGTCCCATGGTGTTTATACTTGCGTACTATTGTTCGTACAGGTGAACTTGGTACCTTCAGATATTTGGAAATTGCTCCCAAGGATGAACCATACTTGTGGAGGTCTACAATTTATTTCTTGAGGTCTTGGCTGATTTATTTTGATTTTCCCATGATGTCAAGCAAAGAGTCACTGAGTTAGAACGTAGGCCTTGAAATACATCCACAGGTACACCTCCAATTGACTCAAATGATGTCAATTAGCCTATCAGAAGCTTCTAAAGCCATGACATCTTTTTCTGGAATTTTGCAAGCTGTTTAATGGTACAGTCAACTTAGTGTATGTAAACTTCTGACCCACTGGAATTGTGAAACAGTGAATTATAAGTCAAATAATCGGTCTGTAAACAATTGTTGGAAATATTACTTGTGTCATGCACAAAGTAATGTCCTAACCGACTTGCCAAAACTATAGTTTGTTAACAAAAAATGTGTGGAGTGGTTGAAAAACAAGTTTTAATGACTCCAACCTAAGTGTATTTTAAAATGTCCGACTTCAACTGTATATATACACTACCGGTCAAAAGTTTTAGAACACCTACATATTCAAGGGTTTTTCTTTATTTGTACTATTTTCTACATTGTATAATAATAGTGAATACATAAAAACTATGAAAAAACACATGGAATCATGTCATAACCAAAGAAATGTTAAACAAATCAAAATATATTTTCTATTTGAGATTCTTCAAATAGCCACCCTTTCCCTTGATGACAGCTTTGCACACTCTTGGCATTCTCTCAACCAGCTTCACCTGGAATGCTTTTCCAACAGTCTTGAAGGAGTTCCCACATATACTGAGAACTTGTTGGCTGCTTTTCCTTCACTCTGCGGTCTGACTCATCCCAAACCATCTCAATTTGGTTGAGGTCGGGGGATTGTGGAGGCCAGGTCATCTGATGCAGCACACCATCACTCTCCTTCTTGGTCAAATAGCCATTACACAGCCTGGAGGTGTGTTGGGTCAATGTCCTGTTGAAAAACAAATGAGAGTCTCACTAAGCCCAAACCAGATGGGATGGCGTATCGCTGCAGAATGCTGTGGTCGCCATGCTGGTTAAGTGTGAATTCTAAATAAATCACAGACAGTGTTACCAGCAAAGCACCCCCACACCTTAACACTTCCTCCTCCATGCTTTACAGTGGGAAATACACATGCGGAGATCATCCATTGACCCACACCACGTCACACAAAGACACCGCGGTTGGAACCAAAAATCTCCAATTTGGACTCCAGACCAAAGAACACATTTCCACCGGTCTAATGTCCATTGCTCGTGTTTCTTGGCCAAAGCAAGTCTCTTCTTCTTATTGGTGTCCTTTAGTAGTGGTTTCTTTGCAGCAATTCGAACATGAAGGCCTGATTCACACAGTCTCCTCTGAACAGTTGATGGTGAGATGTGTCTGTTACTTGAACTCTGTGAAGCATTTATTTGAGCTGCAATTTCTGAGGCTGGTAACTCTAATGAACGTATCCTCTGGAGCAGAGGTAACTCTGGGTCTTCCATTCCTGTGGCGGTCCTCATGAGAGCCAATTTCATCATAGCGCTTGATGGTTTTTGCGACTGCACTTGAAGAAACTTTCAAAGTTCTTGAAATTTTCCGTATTGACTGACCTTAATTTCTTAAAGTAATAATGGACTGTCGTTTCTCTTTGCTTATTTGAGCTGTTCTTGCCATAATATGGACTTGATCTTTTACCAAATAGGGCTATCTTCTGTATACCAACCCTACCTTGTCACAACACAACTGACTTTAAAGAAGGCACACCTGTTAATTGAAATGCATTCCAGGTGACTACCTCATGAAGCTGGTTGAGAGAATGCTAAATGTGTGCAAAGCTGTCATCAAGGCAAAGGGTGGCTATTTGAAGAATCTCAAATATATAATATACTTTGATTCGTTTAATACTTTTTTTGGTTACATGATTCCATATGTGTTATTTCATAGTTTTGATATCTTCACTATTATTCTACAACGTAGAAAGTAGTAAAAATAAAGAACAACCCATGAATGAGTAGGTGTTCTAAAACTTTTGACCGGTAGTGTACATGTTTCTCTCTCACACACCCTAGGGATGGGCATGGTTATTAGAATATAACGGACGTTGGTATTCGATTAGCTGTGAAAATATTTGGATTTGGTATGAGTGGTGGTGTTGCGTGGCACACCGATTTGATCAAGCAAACAAAATAATTGAACCTTTCATAAATCTGAGTTTGATAGCTTATGTAAGTGATGTGGTAATTGCCCAATACACAGCCCTCTATTTGCCTACATGGCTCTCGACCTATCAATATTGCTGTCACAAGTTGGCAAAACCAATCAGATTGTTTAAACAGCAAACCTGCGGGCCACTCACATTCAAAACAACAACCCACTTTGTTCTTGTTTCATATAAAGCTGTCTAATACAGACACTCGCTCTTTTCAGATAGTTTTTGTTCAGAGTTTATTTGTTTCATGAAGAACATGACATGAAAGTTGTACATTGTTTTCTTTTACTTTATCAACATGATTAAATATCTGAATACTGGTGGATTCTTTTCTAGGTGTGGTTTCTCGCTGTTTAGTTGTTTTGATAACAAAATGTATGGTCAATTATTAAATAGGCTGTCTGACTAACCTTGCAGCTGTGTGGTTGGCTTGCTGTTTTTGATAGACTGTGCCTAATGAAACGAAGCAGCGCTGGTTACACGTGTCTACATGGTAATAATGTCCCACTGCCTGGCAGCGCACGAAGTCGCCCTTAATAACCATTTAGAATTGAATATTTTTGATTGAAAGCGTGTTTTAACGTTTCCATTATTCAAACTGGTCTGTAGTGCGTTTGGTGCTTTGTCTACTGCAGAATGCATCACATTTTTGACTTATATTGCTGCATTGTCATGGATGTCCCCATGATCAATAAATTGATCTCACATTGCATTTGTTTTTGTTATTTTAATCAACTAATAGATAGTTAACAGTGGTAATGGTTATTTATTTAATAAGGGTTACGTCAGGCTAATTTACATAACGAGCATGAAGCAGCATAAACATTTATTTTTCCAACTACCTGTATATTGGAATAACATTAATGATATTATTAGAATAGTGAAATGATATCAAATGCCCATCCCTAACACACACACACACACACACACACACACACACATTATATATAAATATTTTGTTAAATGTATATTTTTCCTGTTGAGCAGGAAGAAGTTGTTTCATCACTGGACATAGTGTTCACAATCAGAGAATCAAGAGATTATGGAGAGATGTTCAGTGTGCTGTTTCCAGCAATTATCATTCAGCACTCCAGTACCTCACAAATACTGGTACTCTTGATCCAGATGATGAACTGCACATGGTCTGTCTGCATTATGTAATGCAACCCAGAATCAACATGCATCTGCAACTGTTCAGACATGCATGGAAAGTTACTACAACAACTGTGGGTTGAAGGACAGATGATGGGCTGTAATCCCATATGTGAACCTATCATTGATCAGGTAACATTGAGAATAAGTCTACATACTATTATATTTCAGCCAACATGCCTAGATGTATACATTGATAGTCAATAATATACACATCCCTAGCAAACAATGAAATAATATCTAGATTAATTGTATTAGCCTACTGTATATACTGTATGTAAACCTCCTGGCACTGTACGGGCTTTCAGATAAAAAAAGGGTGGGTTATAGCAAAGGCTGTTAATGTCTGTTTTAAGCTGAATCAAATCAAATCAAATCAAATTGTATTGG